GTGGTTTTTATACCTTTTTGGTAGATAAATAAGAAGTAAAGAAGCATAGTGTCTAGCGAAATTTTATTTTTATAAGAATATTAGATGAAATACAGGATGACCTACTTAAAATTTCAAGGTCCATCTTATTTGCGGTCAAATCGGAAGAGACATTTGAATCTTGACTCTTAAAACAAAGTAAAACGCACAATATGATCTAGTATAAGCAAAAAATAAAGTTACGGGAGTTAGTGACATTGTTATCAAAATGTTACATTATAAACCCCTAAACAATTCGAAAAAATCTAAATTCTAGCAATATTTATTATACAATCGAATGCGGTTTCAAAGATAACGAAATAAAACAATCCGAATCTCTAAATTTTGGAGCTAAATACTCAGATAAAAGCAAGTCACCGATAGAGGTTACAAAAATAATCGATTTATCGATTATTCTGTTATTTTTTTATGAAAATCGATTATCCGTTATAATTAATCGATTATTTTTGATTAATCGAACATTTTCAATAAATTATTTTCGTTTTTTAAGATAATGGAATAATCGATTTTAAAGGAAATACAAAAAGAAAGTAGATTTATTCATAATAATCGATTTATCGTTTAAACGGCTTTTTTAATTAATCGATTATTTTCATTAACCGAATATTTTCGATTAATCGATTATTTTCGATTTTTTAAAAGGTATTCAAATAATTTGTTTTTAAGGAAATACGAAAAAATATATGAAAATAATCGATTGATCGAATATAATCGGTTATTTTATACATTTTTTTAGAATTATCGTTTAATCAGCTTTTTATTAATCGATTAATTTCGATTTTTCAAAGATAATCGAATAATCAGTTTTAAAGGTAATATGAAAAAAAAAAGGATTATTTAAAAATATCGATAATTCGGTTATTTTTTTTTGTAAAATCGATTTATCGTAGAATCGGCTTCTTAATTAATCGGTTATTTTCGATGAAGCGATTATTTTAGAATAATCGATTATTTTCGATATTTCAAAGGTAATCGAATAATCGATTTTAAAGGAAATACGAAAAAATAGATTATTTAATCGATTATTTAAAATTCGTTTTTTTTTTTAAATCGATTTATCGGTTAATCAACTTTTTAGTTAATCGATTATTTTCGATTTTTCAAAGATTATCGAATAATCTGTTTCAATAGAAATACGAAAAAAAAATAAATTATTGAAAAATAATCGACTATTTAAAATAAACGATAATTCGTTTATTATTTTTTGTACTATTTTATCGGTTAATTGGCTTTTTAATTAATCGATTATATTATCTACCCCTCGCGACCAAATGACTTTTAATAGGTTTAAATTTTAATATGTTATCTGGTTTTAGACATATGCATTTCTAGAGTTTTATGGACTTATCCTCTTTATTAATTAATATTCCTAAAGAAAGAAGCTTTAATATACCTTTTTCTGAGGATACAATATAAAACAGCATTTTCTCATTTTAAATAATTAATAATAATGTGTAGCCGTAGAAAAAATATAATGTTTAACTCGCAAGGTTTGATTTGCAGTATTCGCCTGCGCACATGCCTTTTTATAATAGTCGTAGACAATGTATATTGCAGAAAAGTCCGTAGTAAATAAACCTAACGAAATATTCTATAATAGGTCTTCTCTTTACATAAAATGTCGTAGCATTTATTTAATTAAATTAAATCCCATTAAACATCTGTTAAGTAAATCTAATAGTTCATTATGATGCTAATAAACAACGTCCGCCCCTGTCACAGAGTTCGGGTCTCCGCCCAGTTCCCCTACTCTGTTAACCTTTCTTTACAAATTGGCAACATTTGCGCAGGTTAAACACCGGTGTATATCTCGGGTCTCTTTTATCTAAGAGTGTGACTCAAACGTGGCCGTTTTATTGCATCGTAAAAAATGCGAGAGAAACCGAATTCCCAGACACATGGCAACTGAACAAACTGATCGACAGCTAGCAGATGGCTAGCAAATTACGTATAATTTATTAATTTTTAAAATGGTCTCGTATATTTTTATATAAATAAAAATTTCCTTGGTTTAATCGGTCAAATGGTTTTATTTTCTATTGTTGAGCACACTACATATGTTTCGGAAAATACAATTTTTCCATCTTCAGATACAGTCAATTTATAAAAATTATGGGGACGAATACAAACAGTTTAATTTTTTTTTAAAATAATAAAACGCCATAATTCTATTTCACATCGTGTAAAGGTGTTTTTACATTCAAATAAGGTACCTAAAAATTTAAGTATTGCAATTTATCTCCAAGACAAATATTCTAGGAAATAGCGCTTACATTAAAAAAGTCATGTTGCTCTATAGTAAGTTCGAAGATTTTTTTCTTCCATACTATATTCGTGGCGGGCCGGCTGTTTCGGAGCTAGGGATGGGGGAGGGGAAATCGAATAAAAAATTTCGTGATAACCGCCTGAAGTTAATGATAATCATTGGTGTATGTATCTAAATAATAGACGAACCATCGTCGTCAGACAAATTCCATTGGCGGTTCGCGAACGGGGAATTTTTTAAAAAAATTGAAAAAAGATTCGATGTAACTGGTCCAAACTTTGTTTATATTGTTTCTTTTGTTATGTATATCATGGAAAAAATTGTTTGGCCATTTTTTAATAATTTGATCCCAAAATTTTGGAAGTGGTAAAAAATTTCAAAAATTTAACCAATAGGTTAAAATTATTAAATTTTTCTGACCGCTTATTTTGGGGTCCATTTAGTCCTAAATAATGATAAAATGTTGCCGTCAGACAAATTGAGTTTATTTAACCCACCGCGACGCCCCTGCCAAGAGGTTAAAAATTAAAACACTGTTTTTGCGTGGTAAAGATTCAAAAACGTTACAGAATATATTATTTTATATCTGATATTTATGCTTACCTACAATCCTCTCTAGAGTTCGAGAATGTTGTTAAAAAGGGGCGAAATTTTAAATTCATATGAAACCGCGGGGGTAAAATAAACTGAATTTGTGTGACGCAACATTTTATCATTATTTGGGACTAAATGGACTCCATAATAAGCGGTCAGAAAAATTTAATAATTTAAATCTATTTTTGGCAATTTTTGAAATTATTTAACACACTTCCGAAATTTTGGGATCAAATTATTAAAAAATGGCCAAACTACCATTTCTGACCGTATTTTTTCCATGATATACATGACAAAAGAAACAATATGAACAAAGTTTGGACCGGTTACATCGAATGTTTTTTTTTTTATTTTTTAAAAAATTCCCCGTTTGCGAACCGCCAATGGAATTTGTCTGACGACGATGGTTCGTCTATTAATTAGATACATATACTAAATGATTACCATTATCTCCAAGCGGTTAACACGAATTTTTGTTTTTCGATTTTCCCCCCTTCCCCTAGCTCCGAAACGGTCGGCCCGCCACGCATATAGTATAGAAGATAAAATCTTCAAATTTACTAAGGGTCTATTTATACTCCCTTAGTATTAGTATTTGTATTAGTATTATGATTAAGCATTAAATTTGTTAAATCATTCAAAAAAGGTATTTATACTCGTTTTATAATTAGTATTAGTAATTCTTTTTTAAACCTAATACCTAATAAGATATAATTCTGCAGTCAACCAAATATATGGTTACTGAAGAAATGTGTAAGAGGCCGGTTGTGTTCTTTTAAGATATTTGAGTTTTAAATGTGTTTCTATTAATATTTTTACTAGTTAGTTTTATTTAAAAATATTATTATTCAAAAATAGGTTTAATTAAGGACATTTTAACGGATTTAAGTCTCAAATTTATAACAAATAAAAAGAAGCAGAAATTTGATACAAATCAGACAGAAAAGAGGCCTTTGCTTCCTCGTGGTGACATGTCATTTGTCAACTTTATAATCGGTGAACACTGATGATACACAAAAATTGTATACAGAGCATGATTTGTACCGAAATATTATCGTTTTCGAGCTTGTTGGAACAAACATATAAACAACATAATCATATGTGTATTGTTAATTATCCTTATCCGTTGTCTATTAAAAACAAAGGCCAAATACGCCATTGATTATTTATAGAAAAGAAGAAATTTAATATTTAATTTAAAAGTTGAACCTGTCAATTATTAGGCATAAATATTAATGCTAATACTAATCATAAATCGAGTATAAATGTCCCCATTACATTGTGAAGGTTCAACTTTATGCTTAATCATAATACTAATGCAAATACTAATAATAAGGGAGTATAAATAGACCCTAAAAGAGCTCAAATACCACGAGTCAGACGGTTAACATGACTTTTTTATATCGTAAGCGCTATTTCCTAGACTAAAATAATGAAATAATTTTAAGTATGATACATTAATAGTGTTAAGTAACACAATTATGTATTTTAAACATTTTTTGCATAATTTTTCCTGAAATGTCCAACTGTCTACTATTGAAACCGTAGTATAGACCTCTAATATTCATACACCATCTTTAAATTTACCCACATGTAATTCTTAAAGATAGTTAACGAACTGCCAGACGAACTGTTATTTATTACTGATATTTAAAAATCCCAGTATACTGATATTCTCTACATGCTTTTCTATCGATTACACACATGTTTAAAAAAAAATGTTACTGAATATTTCATTTGTTAATGACCTGAGAAAAGAACTCATTTATATGAATTTTACCGTTATCTTTATACACACAACGAATAAAATTTCTTAAATTTTTTTAAAATTTCTTAAAATTTCTTGAAATATCTTAAAATCGAACCCAATCTCGCCCACCTTCAAGAAATTCCCAGATCAAGATCTGGTTATCTTATTTGTAGACAGCGGTTAAACTGCGCTGTTTAATGCGTTGAACGCTGTGGTTGAACTGCTGTGTGTTGTCTGTCTTTAGCCTAAATCTGTCGTAGCGCTGTGGTAAAGTTTTTGTTTTCTGTGTTGAATAAGGTTCTGTTTATTATGTCATTTATATTTTAAATAGTAATTTTAATAAAATTTTAGGTGGTATTGATTTTTGGAATTTCTGGAGGATGCCGTCGCCAAGAGTTAAAAAATTTGAAGATAAATCATGTTAGTGATTTAGAAAATGAATTGCATGTTAAATTAGTTGATACAAAACCGGACCGAATATTTGTAATTCCTGGTATGTTTTATGAGGTGTGCAAAAAATATATCCAGCTTAGACCACCAGATATGACGCAATTTTTTGTTAATTACCAGAAGGGAAAATGTACTAAACAAGTAGTTGGGGTCAACAAAATTGGTAATCAGCCAAAAATAATCGCTGAATATTTAAAATTACCTGAATCGGAATTATATACGGGACATTGTTTCCGTCGTTCAAGGGTCACTATCCTTGCAGACGCAGGAGACGATACCTTAACAGTGAATAATTTCGGTGTCTGGAAATCGACCGCATCATCAGTAATGCAAACATACATTGAGCATTCCTTATTTAAAAAAATAGAGATTGCAAATATTGTTCGGTCGTTTGACACACAACCAGAAGCTGCACCATCAACATCAAATCAAAATATTCATCCAAATTTAGTACAATCAACCTCTTCTTATAACAGCGTCACAGAAGATAACTACGAAGATATAAAAAAAGAAACTGAAACATATGAAACATCCAATCAGAATAATATTCTAACAAATTTATTACAATCAACCTCTACTTATAACAGTGTCACAGAAGATAACTACGAAGATTTCAAAAAAGAAACTGAAACTTATGAAACATCCAATCAAAATATTCTTACAAATTTATTACAATCAACTTCTACTTATAACAGCGCCACAGAAGATAGCTACGAAGATTTAAAACAAGAAAATGTAACATTTGAAACATCCAATCAAAATATTCGTCCTAATTTAATACACTCAACCTCTACTTATAACAACGTCATAGAAAATAACTACGAAGATTTAAGAAAAGAAACTGTAAAATATGAAAATTGTACATTTAACAACTGTACGTTTATCGTAAAAATCAGTGATTGAAATATAAAATTTTGTTAATAACGTTTAGATGTTTGTGTCGTTTATTATTGTTAATATAAAGTTATTTTATCAATATTTTTTTTTAATAATAATTGCCCCAAGGAAAGCGATTACGATTATTACAATCAGATCAATTAGCATTTTTATTCTAACCTAACTTAACTAGGGATAAAAAACTTCATGAACTAAGATTCAATTCACTTCTATAAACTTATACTTTAAGGTACACTAAAGTCTAATGATTTAGTTACACACTACCATTAACATATAACACTAAAGCACACTATACTCTGCTTTTATCTAACATCACTGAACTGACCTAATTTGGTTCTCTTGGGTCTTCTTATTAGATTGGCATTGTTGAGAAGCTGGATAATCTCAACATTCCCAAGTTGGAGCAGTTGTTGTTGGTGACTACTGACAAATTTTTCTATTGTATCCAGGTCCCTATGAAGATCAGTATTGCAGCAGTAAAGTAGAACCAGAAATATGTTAAGGTCCTAAATCAGTATTAGCCGACGACCCTCATTATTAACTATTGTTCGAGATGTAGATAAGTAATAAAATTGTGTGTCCCTAAAAAATTTTCCAGGTCCGGATTAAAATATCTTATGAAATAGTTAGGTATTTTAATAAATTAAATATATTTCCAAAAATGAATTTATGCATGTCTTTTTATTTTTTCCACTTAAATAAGCCGCCAAATTTTAGTTAACTCAGCCGTTGGCGGCACCGCCACTATCGAAGACAAAAGAACACGATCCCCATTTCAATACACTGATCTGATCTTTTTTTTTAATTTATCTGAGTAGAACTTTACAGACAGAAACGTCATTACACTTTCTAGGAGGTTAAAGAATGGTTACCAGATTATTTTTATGTATATCAAGTAGAACTTTACAGACAGAAACTGATAATAATTATTAATATATAAAATTTACTTACCTGACCACCAGACTTTCATACTAATGGACTGTTAAAGAGATTACCGATAGTTTATTTAGGATTATACATTCAATTACCAGATTTGAAAGACATTTTGTTTAAGATAACGAGTCGTATAATCCCAGACAGATTAGGGAAAGTTAAATAATGGGGAATTAAGAGTATCTAGGTACCTGTTTTTAGAATTGATCGCTTTACCCATTTTGGAAACGAAAGGGGGATAATTTAACAAAATTACCGAATATTCCGTTCTTGTCTATTCCAAAGGGTTCAATTTTTGTATTGTAAAAAATGTGGCGCCCATAGGTTCAACCTGCAGCCAGTACTTCAACTGGTGGTGGTAGTCACTAGTCACACCCTCATGGGAAAAAATTGTATTTTTTGCTCATATACCAACTTTCAAGTCCTTAGCGCAACTTTCGTTTTTTTTTTCAATTTTTTTTATCAGTGGCTTTGTAAATTTCAAATTTGACATTTTTTTTTTAAATTGCAAAAGTAGTATTATTTTTAAAAATTTCACAAAAGGCCCGAGAAAAAAGTTGCTTAATATTTAGTTTTTTGTTCGTATCAACCTTCAACTTGTTTTCTTTTCAATTTTTTTACAAATTCATTTTTAGGTTACTGGAATTAAATGATAAGCAACTTTTTCCTTACGCATTTTTCAATATTTTGAAAAATAATACAATTTTTTGCAATTATAAGGAAAAATTGTCAAATCAGTTATTAATGCCAAAAATTATGTCTCATCAAATTGATATTAAAATATTCTCGAGATTTAGATTCAACAAAAATAACCGACTTTTATCAAGGTCTTGGTATATTACCCTGCTTGATTATAAAAATCTATGAAATCGGGAATTTTGTTCAAATCTATGGGCCAGTATGTAAGGTTTTCCAGTTGACATTTGTGTTGGCATGATGCTAATAGTTTCCCTTTAGTTGTCAGTCTAGATTCCCAGCGAGTATGTTTTGTATTAAAGTCTCCTCCCACTATGAATCTGTATCCTTGGCTACCAAAAAAGTCAACGTATTGATGCTTCTTTATAGTATGTCTTGGTAGGCTATATAAAGCTGGGATCACAATTTCATAAGTTTTTCTCTTAATATTAAAAGATGTGGCCAGCATTTATACTGTTATTTGGTAACCCATTTCTTGATAGTGTAAAATGGCTTCCTTAATTATAACTGCACTTTCGCCTTTTGTCGCATTATCGGATGGATTGTATGCAGAGATAACAGGAGATACAGCTATTCATTGATCAAATGTAATATTCGTGAAGCCGACATCGATACCACAGTCGATACAGTCCAGTTGTAGATCAGGAGTGAAGAGGCATGTGGTGTAAGGTATGGGAAGGGATAAACTGAAGGAGTTGACGGCGGTTCAAAACAATTTTATCAATGAATAATGAATATATGTGTTATCCATTATGTTCCCATACTAAACAACGTACAAAATACAAGCCCTTTGCCACATCTAGTACAAAATACTTGATATCCAACTTAACATTAAGTAGGTTTTGGAATTTATTAAAAATTATTACATCTAATTTAGTGAAATTACATGTAATGTTTTTTCTTTCTTTTCTATTAATATATGTCCCTTTTTTGTTATCAATATATTGCTAGTTATTCCGATGGGGTTGCGTAGGCAAGTTTGGCTTCTTTGTTTGCTTGTTTTTTATTCATTGAAATTATTTGGCTATAATGCAACTGTGGTAATTAGCCAGGTGGCTTTCTTCGCAATGGGCACACTTTGGAGGACCATTTTTTAGTTTACCATATATTCCACTGTTAAATGTTTCCCCGTACATATTTAAAATGAAGGCTTATTTTATCAGTAATTCAATGCACTGACAATACTATCCCTATAACTCAATATTAAAGCTCTAAAAAAGCCTGTGTCGGTAAGGGACGACTATGATTGATGCAAGTGCTATTTGAGTTACACAAATGGTATATTTTAAAAAAATCAATCAAATCGACATTTGGACCATTGATATTGAAAACAAAAAAGCCATGGTAAAATTCTAATTATAGTCTTTCTAAACACAATCCAACACGGCGAAATAACCGATTAGTACCGACTTCAAAGGGACTGCGTACATGGGCGTACCAATTTTATTATCAAAATTAAATTAATAATTGTGTATAGTTCCATTAAACTCGTTCCGAACTCTTGCCGACAATTTTGCCGACAATGATTATAAATTGGACGGAGTTTTACGCCGTTATTTAGAGAGATGCACTTAATTGTAGTCCTACTTGAAACTTAAAAAAAATCATTATTCTAGCTCGTTAACTTGCTACAACTGAATATTAAATTATAAAACGTAAATAGACGAGTAAAATGTACCTGCCTGTAAGGGCGTTTGGGTCAACCAGGGTACCAGACGTGAAGTGATCCCTTTTTGTACCTCATTCGTTTTTTTTTTTTTCGGAAAACGAAATTTCAAAGCAAAAACCATAAAGGAAAATAAATTCTTTGCAAATAAAACAAAACTATAAAATAATTTAGGAAAATGAATTTTTTAAAAGAAATAAATGAATACGAACTAATAAAATGTTAACAATGAATTAATTTGATGACTCTCGGATTACCAATAATGACAAATAAGAAAGTTAATTCGAATCTAAATCTGAACCATCTGTCGAGGAATCGAGGTTTGTATATATAACTACTGGAGCTATAGAAGGTAAAATATGATATTTTTTTTCCTTTTTAGGACGTGACTAATGCACTTTTTCTAAACGTCAGTCAAAGACGGGTCTTTAAAAACGCCATTAATATTTTTCAAATCACATTTGTTAAGGTAGGTGCAAAATTATTACGTCTCAGTTTTTGTTTAACTGAAGACCAAACTAATTCAATTGGATTAAGTACACAATATTAAGGTGGTAACCTCAATACAGTATGACCTATGACCATCCTCTTTTGCAAAATTATCAATATAATACTGTATTGGAATATTCTTTTAACAATTTGTAACAATTGTGGTTTTGTTTTTACGGAAGCAGGACTATCAATGTTATTATCTTTTGAATACTTTGATATATCTGATTTCTTAAAGTCACTACTTGGCTTCTTGTGAATTTGCCGGGAATGATATGGCGCATTGTCCATTATAATGTCTGAATTAGGTGGAATATTCGGTAAAAGTTGTTCATCAAACCAGTTCTTAAAAACTGCTGCATTCATATCTTCATGATAATCCAGCAGAGCTTTATCGACATATTTTGCTGAAAGTAGCGAAGCGTTTGCTACAAAGCCATTTTCATTTTTGGCATGTAAAATTATGACTCTCATCTACATCTATCTCAAAAGGTCTCTAGAGAACATCTCGTATGACACAAATCAAAATTTAACAAAAACACCGAAAAATAAAAACAAGTGGGAAAATTTTTCAAACCGTGTACGCTACTGAACAAAGATAAAACAACTAAAGCAGCCAGGCGAGCCAGTAATTCTGGCCGCTCACTTGTGGACATAACATCAACTGTGGTGCGTAGATGCTTAAAACTTAAGTGTGCAATCCCGGTACAAACGATATATTGGATTGAGTTTAGAAACACTTTACTTTATCTCGAAAATTATCATTTAATATTTTTTTTTTTTTTTCATAATCCATTCTGTTATTTATTTCAGAAAATGAATGGTAAATTCTGGTCATACATTTATTAGTTGTAATAAAAATACTAAATACATACATAATTTTGAACTATTTTATTAAAAATAAATAATTTATAAAAAAACTTGTGTAAACATAAATAAAAAAATGTAGGTATTCTCGTTGTCTAACGCTCTGCATTTATCATGTGTAGTATTCGTCTGCACAACTCTTCTTCTTCCTGAAAATTTAAATATGTACACTGGATATGTTAAACATCTACAGGATATATCCATTGGTTACTTATGAGCCTCTACTAAAGGTACCCATTAGATATTTTGCTGGATCACAGAATAACTTCTATATCCTGGATATAGACGGACATTTGGATATCCATATTAGAACCACTGGATATCTATGATATCCTGTGGATATATTTGATATCCACAAAAGATATTCTGTGGATATCTCTGGGATTTCGTGTATTGTCTGCGAGATACCCATTAGATATTTTGCTGGATATCCATAGGATATCTTCTATATCCTGGATATAGACGGACATTTGGATATCCATATTAGATCCACGCGATATCTATGATTTCCTGTGGATATATCGGTTATCCACAAAAGATATTCTGTGGATATCTCTGGGATTTGGTGTGTTGTCTGGGATGATTCGTCTTGCCCTACTATCACTGTATCGTCTGCGAAGCACATCTCCCTTACCATCAAGTATTGACAAAGCATTATTGATATAAACAAATAATAGGGGGCCAAGAATTGTTCCCTGCGGAACACCCCACATACCACCTCAAGAGGCTTACTTATGACATTTCCAATTTTAACTTTTTGTGTTCTTTTAAATATGATGCTATAAAGGTTGGTAGCAGCCATCCATATTCAGAAAACTATTAACTCTGGCTAATATTGCGATGGTACGCGACCATATATATGTTCTGTCAGGACTGATCAATGTGGGATGCACCTTGGCAACAGGACATGCTGGCCCTGGAGTAGTTAGTTGACGATCAGCCGACAACACTGATTTGTAGGGTGAACAGACGAATCATATTCTGAGTTTAAACACAAGTTTGTTTAGCAACTTTATTTTAAAAATGTGTTGAAAAATTATTGAATAAACCATTTTAATTTCATACAGCTTACCCAAGATATTCAATTTCTAGGTTGTTTGCAATTAATATTAATTTCAGATTAACAAGAAGACCTTTTAGGACTCAAGTACGATACTGCTGATAATGTCCAAAGTTGTTTATAGACCAAAGGTTTGTTCCAATACCAGCGAAAACCATAATATCATACAAATAATAGGCTCTACCCAAAAAGTGTATAGAGCTTATTATTTGTAACCTATATGAACCGATACCGACAAGCACAAGTGAAGAAATCATAAAAGTATCTGTACATTTTTCATGGAAGTAGGAGATAAAACATAAATATCTGAAAGACAACTTAATAACAACTGTATGAGCATAAAAATATATGTATGTACATGAAAGGGATATAGTACCTACTCTGAAATGAATCATAGTAATTGTTATATTGATAAACATACTTACAAAATATTCACTGTTCCTCAAGCTATTCATGTATCGTTGTACAATGTCTTTTACATTATATCTGAATTTTATGCACTCTTTTACAGCTGGTGGATAATTATCCATTATGGTAACTAGAAAGGATAATACATACTCATGGCTAGGACACCTTTCCATCATGAATAGAGTGAGAAGTTGATGAATGAAACCAAGTTTTACTAATTGCTCTAAAATAAAATAATTTGTTTATAATTAACATTTGCAGGTGGTTGGATTCAAACTTATGGATCTGATACACTTTGAGCTTGTGAGTGTGATTTGTTTGTGTGACATGAACTTCAAATTTCTATTTATTAAATATTTATATCTAATATAAATCTTACCCTTTATGTCTGGAAAAAGTCGACTTAGTGATGATAGCAGAAAACAAATTTTAATGGTCACACTCTCGTTATTGAATTTTGACAAGCTATTAAACAAAATTGAAAGACCTCTATATTGAAAAAATTGGGAAACACCTTCTGTATTTTCTCTTATTATTCCTATAAAAAATAAACAAATCATATAAAAAAGTTTAAAAACGACACTCATTTTACAAGTTTTATAACTAAATGCTGCAACACAAAATTGTTAATTTAGTTCGTTTCTCTAGATAGTGATGGGACTATTCGAATACAAATTATAGAAGTATTCGATTCTAGCGTACATTCGAATGCATTCAATTCTCAACGAAGTATTCGAATACTAAAAATAATCGACACGACAGCATCGAGTTCGAGTGACTTGAGAGTTGCGTTGCGTGTAAAAATTCGGCGAATGCTGAATCGGAATGGATCGATATCGACAAAATTCGACTCGGATCCGATTATCAACGTAGTGTAGTTTACTATTTTTACTTTAACACAGTACTTTATTCTGATTGCGCCATATTACATAAATATTTATTATTTTATGAACAAGTCATATATCAATTAATGAAACAGATAAAAAAAAAACAAGTGGCAGTCACGGCGATCCATATTTGCCGACACCGACCTATAACAAAATGGTTACTCAAAGTTATTTATTCAGTAATTCATATATTATTAGACGTAGAACAAATAGGCAGGCGGCACCTGAGATAAGAGTTGAGACGCCGAGAGCACTCGCGGACTCGAGAGGCTGAATCGCATGTGCTCGAGTATTTTTTGGTATCGCTGGCGCTGACCTCGAAACGAAACGTAAATAATTCGATTCTTTGTATTCGAATAATTGCTTGATTCTCGAAAGTATTCGAATTAAAAATGTTCGATTCTGAAAAACATCTGAATCTCCCAATACTATCTCTAGCACTTAGACCCGTATTTATAAACAGATCTCAGCCAATCGAAGTTCAGTTATATCGCGTGAATTTAGAGATGGGTAGTAACAAATTCGTAAATGTATTTAACAGTTACAGATTTGCTACTATCCATCTCTAACATCTAACACCGAAACCACCTGGAACTTTAGAGAAGTTTAACCGAACTTCGATTTTCGTTCAAAGACGACTCACCTAAGTCCGACTCAGCTGAGTTCCGTTTATGAATACGGACCTTAAAATAGATTCACAATATTTTTTGAATAAATGGGTCGTGCTCCTATTTCTTCTTTCAAGTTCAATTCCGATTTTTTTTGCAGTAATGTCATATTTCATAAAATCTGACAAATATGTCACAATATACAATATATCTAAAAGGAGAATTCCTTTCATCAAAGGAATTCTGCAAATAAAAGTAATTAATGCGTAGCTATAATATAATTAATTATATAAGATCATATAGCAGCAGTAATTACGTACATAAGCTTCTACTCCTTTTCCTTAAGATGTCAAGGTTTCATCCAACTATTTTCTACATTTTCCTAAATGTTTTGGATATAGTAAAGCAATTAATAATTAAATATATTCAACTTACCACCCAAAGCAAATAAGGCCTTAACAATTACTTGCACATCATCATCTGTTTCTATTATATTTAGAAGAAAAGGAACAAACTCATTTTCCAGAATCACTTTTTGACAATAGGGATTATTTTGACATAAGACACCGATCAACTCACAAGTTATTGCTCTGATTTTTGAGAATCGAGATTTCAGGCAGGGGTATAGAATCAAGAAACCTCCTATTTTGTGAAAGTCTAAAAATAAAAATATAGTATATTTTCTCAAAATTTAAATAAATGAGGAATATTTCAACACTCATCAGATGAGATCAGTCTGAGAAGCTGTCAAAAAGCGTTATAAAATTTCTTCTATAAACAATAAAAACATACTTGTAAAATTGTAACTTTTGACATTATATTAGGTAGAGAATATAAAATAAGAGCTTATTGGAAGGACACTGAAAAGACAATTAAAATCATAAAAAGAAAGCAGGGTGCTGTATGTTTTGTTAAGGATAATAAATAAATAATATTAACGCAGACAATACTGGACTGCATCAGGTTGAATTAAAATTGTGTAGAGGTACACTTTATTTTATGATTATTATAATATTATAATAATTAGATAATAAAGTACACAAAATGGATTAGATTGCGTTTTTTCTCAAAGTCTCCAAAATTGTTATCTAATCTGTGCGAGCCTTAAAGTATCATTGATATTTGGACCTCTCATCTCAGTAGCGCCCTTTACTGGCAGAATAACTCCTATTTGCCCTCATTGATTAAAATACAGTATTAAAATTTATTTAAAATTGACCATATAAAAGAAACTCACAGAAAGACAATCCTGTGTGCCTGTTCAATTATGTAATTGGGTTGAATCTTGATATGTTATGTTGGGTATGGAGTATTAATATACTGCACTCTAAAAGATCTATTGTGCCCCCTTCTGTCATTAATGCAGCAAGGAAATAGTTTCGATGCCTATAACGACCCTTGTAATCCTATCTTCTCAAGGAAGCGTAGGATTTGGAGTGACTTCAATTTAGGTAAATCTCCCTCTTCTATTTGATATGCTCCTAGATATAATGCCCTTGGATTCTGGAGTTCTACACATTCAGTCAGAATGTGAATGGAGGTTTCGGGTCCTCCTCATCACAGAATCGGCACTCACTATCTTCTACTACTCTCAGTTAACTAAGGTAGGCAACAAAGGTCGTTTAGTGAGTCGGTAATGTTTGGTAAGAATCCCTGTTACAATGCAGAGCCCGAGGGGTAAACCACTAAGGTCAAAACGTACCAGTATATCAGAAATCACCTAAAATTCGCATGATTGTGATGATTTGGCCAAAATCCCTCTTAATTTTATACAATTTTGTGCAAAATCATTGATTAAAATTTCCTATAAATCCCTATAAATTGTCTTGAATATTCAAATGACTTTTTTTTTAAAGAGCTTTCTACATGATTCATGCTCGACCTTTTTTTAACTCTTCCAATGTCTTTTGATCTACTGCGTTCTAAATTCTAAATGACAAACTGATTTCAATGTGTTTTCATTGATGATTTTTCGGAAATTTCGAGAGAAATTGTAGTGATTTCAAGTGAAAAGTACCAGTAATTAGGGAGTTCGCCCCTCGGCATAGCCTGTTCTTGCTCAAGCAGATACTGGAAAACAGCTCAGGTAACAGAGAGTCTTGACATGTAGAGTAATGTAACACCTTTAATGTCCAAACAGATAAACACCCAATTATAAATTATAATAAAAATTATTTTTAATGTAGATAAAAGTTCTTATTATCTAGCTACGATTTTATTTTTGTCTTTTCATCTAGTTTATAATATTATAGAAAAAGTCAAATTTTATTAGCGAAATGACTCCTTAAAAACTGTTTTTGGTTGGTTAGCACATTTGACGAAAGATATTGTTTCAAAATCTTACCATTGGCTGTGTCTATATTGTCTACATAATCCAAGATAGTATCTAAAGCATTTATATAATTAGCAACTTCAGCCTCAGTTAAACGATCAACATCTCTTAAGGTTTTTATTTGTGTTTGTAAAATTTCAACAACATCTACTGTCATTGAACTCAGAGCTCCTTCAAGAAATTTTTTTCTCTAAAAAAAAAAAAATGCAATTAATAAAATACACATATCTGAATAATTGCTCATGACCTCATATACAGGGTGTTCCTTAATGATATGCGAATATTTAAGGGTGTAAATCTACATGAAAAATTAGTGGGAATTTTCTTCATAAACTATAGTCAAAATGTCAATTTTTTTCTTTCATTCTTCAATAATTACATTAATTTTCTCGGACAATAAAATAGTTTTTATTTTTTTACTCAAAAACGGAGAAATCTTTTAAGGTTAAAATTAAATGGCGAATTTTAAAATATTTTTTTTTTTAATCCATTGGCGTACCATTTTTTTTTAAACATATTGAGGCTAGTTAGTGTAAGTACACACGCCAATGTTAAAGTTGAAAATTATTCTTGTATTGAAAAATATGCACCATTATTAACTGTCACTGAATATTAAATATCACTGAAATATCTCAAGCGATTACACAAATATTAATTAATTTTCCTTTTTTTTTCCAAAACTTTAGCACCCTGTATTTTCGTAACGAAACATTTTTGGACCATAGTTTATAAAGCAAATATCATTAATTTTTCATGTAGATTCACACCCTTAAAAAATTAGTATTTTTTTTTAATACAGGGTGCTTTGCTAGCTTGGAATGAAGCCAGTAGAGCACCTCGGTTTTTTAAAGCCTTTTTGAAAACTAACCTCACCACATTTTTGGGCAATTTTTAGGCTTTTGAAATATCATAAAACTTTGAACAAAACAAAGCACCTCGGTTTTCAACTTTTTTTTTTTTTTAATAAAAATAACTACTTATGCCACATTTTTAGGCTACTTTTAGCTCTTGATATATTATAAAGCTTTTCGAAAAAACTGCTATTTTTAAAGGTTTTTTTTTCTTCTAAAAAACAACTATTCCACATTTTAGACTATTTTCAGGCTTTTGAGATATTATAAAACAAAAAAATTATATTTTTAAAAAAATACGGGATGCTTTATTAGCTTTGAAAGAAGCCAGCAAAGCCAGACCACCTCGGTTTTTTTCTAAAACCCACACCACGTTTTTAGGCTATTTTTAGGCTCCTTAAATATCATATAACATTCTGAAAAAAATTGCCATCTTAAAATATTATAAAACTTTACCAAAAAATGCTATTTTAAGAACATTATAGCAGAGCACATCCGTATTTTTCAAAAACAGCAATTTTATCGAAATGTTTATTATATTTCAAGAGCCTAAAAAAGTGTAATTATTTTTAGAAAACAAACTTTAAAAAACATGGTGCTTTGCTGGGTTCATTCAAAGCACCACTTATTTTTTAAAAATACCATTTTTTTTTATTTCATATAATTTCAAGAACCTAAAAATGCGGCATAGTTTATTTTAGATAAATCTTTTAAACACCCAAGGTGCTCCACTGGCTTCGTTTGAAGTTAGAAGAAACTATATTTAGGCTCTTGAAATATTATAAAACTTCGAAAAAAAAAATAGTATTTTTAAAAAATACAAGGTGCTTTGCTAGCTTCGAACGAATCTAGTAGTTTTTTATATATATATATTTTTTCTAAAATCCCAACTATATTTTTAGGCTCTTGAAATATTATAAAACTTTCTTAAAGAAGTTGCTATTTTTAAATATTACAGGGTACTTTGTTGGAACATATTTATTTTAAATAGGAAACCCTAATATACAAATATTAATTTATAAATACAATAAAAAAAAGTATGTAATACAATTTACAATAGAAAGTAATGAAGACAATTACGTTTAACATATATAATACATAAAATTAAAACATATAAACGTTACATATGCTCTTCTAGAATTAATTTAATGAGACTGGTTTTAAAGCTATTTACAGAATTATTATTTTTAATAATATCAGGAAGTTGATTGAAACTATGGAAGCCTCTAAAAAAGAAACAGTTCCTTGTACTGGCTCTCTTAGCTCTACAAAGATATAGTAAATTGTTCTCTAGTTGCGTACTGGTGAATATTGTTATGATGAACAATATAATCATTAAAGTAGGCTGGTGCAAGATTATTTATAATTTTGTAGACCAACACCATCGTGCGCAGGAAAATCCTCTGCTTAACGTTTAACCAGTGAAGTGAAGTTAACATTAAAACAATAGGTGGGTAACGATTAGTTTTTATAATTGTTCTCATACCTCTGTTTTGAAGTTTTTGTAATTGACTAGTTATTATTGTCATTAAAAAGAAATAATATAGATGCACAGTAGTCAAAATGAGGTTGTATTATCGTGTTATATACAGTTAACTTAATTTCACTTGAAAGATGTTGAGAAATTCTACTAAAAAAGAATAACTTCTTGAAATTTTTTTTATAAATATAATTAAAATGAGAGTCCAAGGATAAAATATTATCAATGTAAAAACCAAGATATTCAAAATTTGAAACTATTTCAATATTTTCATTGTTCACCATTAGAGATATATCATTTAATTTAATTTTGCTATATTTGTATTTATTTGTACAGATCATTATTTATTACTTATTGAGTAGGAATCCTCTATCAAGTGTCTCAAAGGCTCTCTTTAGATCTAAAAATACATATATGGAATACTTATTATTTTTTTGTTTCATTTTTAATTTTACAGTGTTAAAGCCGGCTATGGACGATAAGCGATAATATAATATATATTTTAGCTCGGCAATGAGCTATAATATTATATTATTACTGCAGTGGACGAGAATATATATATTTTTTATTTTTCAATATAATAGGCTGATCCAGTGAACTATATAGTGTAGTTGCAAAAATGGCGATGGAGAAAAATTTGTTATTGCTAGATACCATTGATAGCTCATCAGAAGATAAATCAGATGCTGAAAGCGACAATGTATTATTATTAGCAATTAGGGTTAGTAACCAAAAAGAAACAATAAGATTCTGGTTATCAAATCACATCAAATACCGAAAAGTACGAGGAGAATTTACACTTTTTAACGAATTAAGTGACGAAAAATTTACAAATTATTTTCGAATGGACTGAACTAGTTTTTATGAATTCATGATTTAATAAAAAATTAAATAGAAAAGCAAAATACAAATACGCGGAAATAGTCCAGTAACTGAAGACCTGAAAATATGCAAAGCTGTCATTAATTCGGTCCAGATTTCCTTTGTGGCTCAATTTTTAGGTCTGGACGGTTGCTTTCAAGGGCGAAAACTTTTACCAACACTGCTGGTTCGGAAAGTGCTCAAAATGGCCCCTAAAGTCCGAAAAAATAGTTTCCCGCTAATATCTGCCAAAATATACAAATTAGACAATTTTTGTTTAAATAAAAAATGAAGATCGTATCATTACCTACAAAAATGGTCCCTACCATTTTTTCGCAAGACTAATATTTTTTGCAAAAACGGCCTTCGAAAAAGCCCGAATTTTTGCACTGAATAGAAATGTTAGTTTCTCACTGAATTTCCGCTCGAGGGAGTTGGGAATACATTGATTTTTATGTTTTGGACTTTGGAGACCAATGGTAGATGGCGCCAGCGGCATATCTCTGCTCACTAAATTATGGGGCCTATGAATGGAAATCCGGGCACCAATCGATCTTTCGACAATTATTGGCGAATTCTACGGGATTTTTTCTGTAAAGTAGCGCTTGGAGTATCTCATCTATATTGCCGAATGTTCTGTGTAATTTGCGTTGCAAAATTTAATAGAAAAGTGCAAAAAAATTTTTTTTCATGTGGCAGTCTCAAATCCCGGCGCTTTGCCTAATAGTGGGTTACTAGTTTTAGAGTGTGATGAATATTGACCCAAGAAGATCCTTTATATTTTCTGCGTCTTTGCAAAATTTTCGCCAACTTCTATCGGAACAATATAGGTCCAGGATTTCAGAAAAATAAGAAAGTTTCTGAAAAATTTCTTTTATTATGAAAAACATGTTGAAAATACGAAATACATAGCAATGCTTATAATTTATCATACGTTAAACCATTCAATGTCATCAGAATCATACTCTTCATCGTCTTGCTCTTGCTCTATTAGAATTACAACAAATTTATAGACTTTATTTTAAATCAATCAAACCTTTTCTGTTCACACACCCCACCCCACAAACGAAAAACAAATTCTTGAAAATTCAAGAATGACGTCGAATTTTTCACTTTAAAAACTTCTGTTTTTTAACAACTTAATTGATAATGATAAAATACTATCAATATTTTTCTAAAATACTATCAATAATACCGACAATAACGACTCCAAAAACAACAGAGATTGTACACCAACAAAAGCAGACGATTAAGGTGAGCGCGTGGCGCGTGAGTACACGTGGTTAGGTTATGATGGAATATCATGGATCTCAGGCGGAGAGCGTAAAAATGGGGGAGATAATTCTAACAAACAGTTAAGAACCACGCTCACATACGGGGATCAATTGATAGAAATGGAAAGGTGAGAATATCAGCTTCACTTCGGTCTGGGTATTAATGTTCAAAAAATGAACAGCGGGGAACAAGAAGTATTTAAAAAAAATACATTCGAAAAGTAGACACTCTAAGCTTTAAAATGGTGTGCATTGAATAACAATATAATGAAATATGAGTTTTTAATTACTGCTTGTTTCAAAGATTTCTAGAACTCCGAAAACGTATGAAAAATGCAAATAAACAAATCAATTTTGTTTTAAAACGCCACGAAGATACTGGAAAAAAATTTCTGAGATCATTCGAGACATCTCAATATCCCATTTAAAACAAAAATGGGATAAAAAACTATTAAAAGAAAAAAATATGAATGATTTACTATAAAGTGGTTCAAAATAGTGGGAAAACGCAACTTTGACCCCTTTTTCAATGTTCTTGACAGGAAATAACGGGCTTCAAGGCACATGGATCGATACCTATGGGTTTTCCCATTGTAATGAACTTTGAATCATCGAAAAATATCAATTTTTGACCGAGTTCTGAAACAATTTGTCCACCCGTTTACAAGCTAATCAGCATTGCTATAGAGATAAAGCAGGGGCTGAACGAGGGGACTTTTGATTGCGGTTATCTCGAAACTTGTCGAATTCCCGACAAAAATGATAGGGACCATTTTTGTAGATAATGATAAGATCTTTCTTTTTTATCTAAACAAAAATTCTCTAATTTGCATATTGTGGAAGATATTGGCGGGAAACCAGTTTTAGGGTTCATTTTGGGCCTTATCCGACGCAGCAGAGTTGGTAAAAGTTTTCGGCCTTGGAAGCGACCGCCGAGACCTAAGAGTTGAGCCACAACGGAAATCTGGATCGACTTAATGACAGGTTGGTCTCTTCAGTTACTGGACTAAAAAGCATTAGTTCCTTAAAGCGACTGGTAGTTACTTTAAGGTATGTATATAGATAGATTATTCTTAGTTATAGGAAAGTGACTTTTACTAAAAAATTAAAGAGAAAAAAAAAATATATTAAAACATAAATATTATAAATCTGTGTAGAAATAGCAACTAATTTTACAAACCTACAAAATTTATTTATCAAATCACGTTCAAAACAAACATGTAAACAACGCCGTTTTGCTTTCTTGGCGGGCAGCGCGACACAAGAGGGGGGAAATATATATCCTAAAAATCGCTCGGAAAGCATATTTCGTCCAACATTAAATATATCGCCCGGCATCGCCGGGATATAGTTATATATTATAGCATCAATGCGCGGCGACTTGCACTTTTTAATGCAAAGCGATATTTTTATAATATGTGAGCTATAATATATATTATATTATCGCTTATCGTCCGTAGCCGGCTTAATTGTAGTGCTGTTTCACATGAATGTTTACGTCTGAAACCAGATTAGTGAGTGATTACTTAATATATCATGAGATTCAATATGTTCAATCAATTGCACGTAGACTGCCAGCTCAATAAGCTTTTTAATAGGTGGTAATGTATTTATAGGCCTAAACTCGGAGGCCTTATTGGAATTCGCTACTTTTTGTATTGGGACAATGGTGCTAATTTTTAACACATTTGGAAAAGTGCCCATTTGCAAAGAAGTGTTAACCAGATTTAAAATTACATGTCCAACTGTTTGAAAAATTTCTTTTAGCATTTTTGAATTTAAAACTTTATTAAGAGAGAATTTGTAGTCAAATGAAATAATAATTTTCCGAAGGTTAACTAATGATAAAGGTTTAAAAGAAATTAAAGATGGATACAAATTACAATTGGTACTACATTGAGGAGTTTCACAATTAAAACTTCCAACTATATTGTTAACGCTCTCAACAAAATAAGTGTTAAATCTCTCTGCAATTTCAAAAGCGTTATGGCTGAGCATATTTCCATTAGGACTATCAAAAATTATGTTAAATGGTGAATTATATGTATTTACATTGATTAATTTTTTTAACGTCCGCCACATTTCCTTTAGATTACTTTTATATCTATCAATTTTAACTTTATAGTAGGATTCTTTTTTTATTTTTAACATATTGACCACTTTATTTTTATATTTTTTAAAATTATACCATTTAGCTATTTTACTACAATCATTACATACAGCATCTCCTAGGCCTCATCTTAGAATAAGTTTCATTGTCAATCCAAGGTAAAGTAGGCTTGTATGTAAAAGTTTCAATAGGTGCTATATTATTAATAATGGTTGTACAATTATATAAAATGTCTTCATATAGTTCATTAATATTGATTGAATTAAGTGACCAGTTACACATAAGTAGGTTTAATTTGATTCTGTCTAAATTATCTGTATTTAAGTTTTTGATTTTTTTATATATTGTATTTGCTGGGCATTACCATTACTAAAATTAAACGAAAGAATAGAATAATGGTCAGTTAATTTAGGAGAGTTATAAACAGCAGCTATAACATTATTTTGGTTTGTTATTACAAAATCAACTATTGTCTCACTAGTATCAGTAATACGTGTAGACTCTGTTATAAATTGCTTAAGTCCACATAATATAAAAAAATTTGAAAAAAAAAATATTTTTTTAAAAGTACATCCAATGAAGTCAGTAGAGCACCTCGTATTTTAGAAAAGAGCATTTTTTTTAAAGCTTTATAGTATATCAAGAGCCACAATGTAGCCTAAAAATGTGGCATTTTTGTTGTTAGAAAAAAAACCTAGGTGTTCTGCTAGTCTAAAGACCGCCTGTACAAGATTTTATTCAATTTCTTGTACAATTTAAATTGTATAGTATCATACTGTAAATTGTTTGAAAAATCAGATTGGATGAGGTATTGTCTGGAAAATTAGAATGTGTTCTATTTTGAAACAATTTGTTTGTTTAATGTTTTTATGTTTCTGAAAGGGTTTAAACACCTTAGTATAGTATTAGTCTTGAAATTTCAATGACACTTCCAAATTGGCACTCATGGATGAATTGACAGGGGCAATGATATAAATATTTATATATATTGCTCAAAGTGGGACGCATTGTATGATGGTACAGCTGGTAGGCAACACAGTACAGAATTCATACCAAGTCCTTGATCTCTTTTTCTCAACTGTTTGCCAAGTTTTTCTTGTAAGCTTTGGCATTCATTTTTTGATGATTCACCCATTAATGATCTTTTCGCGATATATGCTGACAAATTCGTAAAAACTATGAGGAAAATTTGTTCCAAATTATCCATTTTAATATGAGAAACAAATAAATATTAAGGTTTCAACCATGGGTTTTACTGATTTTAGTTTTACTGTACTAGACACTCTTGACAGTGACAGAGACAAAAGTTTTGATTAATGCGCAAAATCTTGCTCTAAATATTGTGCAATATTTTTTATAGTTATAATACACAAAATATTTCAAAACAATAAATTTCTTGTTTTAAAAATTGTATTGTTATATTTTAACAAAGCACCTTATATTATTTAAAAATTAGAAAAGTTACATATTTCTAGAGCCTAAAAATTTCCTAAAATTGTGGTGTGGTGGTATAAAAAAAAAACTTGAAAAACCTGAGGTGCTCTGCTGACTTTGTTCGAAGCTAGCAAATACCATTTTTTTTTAAAAAGTTGTGTAACATTTTAAGTGCCTAAAAAGAGCCTAAAATTATAGTGCAGTTGTTTTCAGAAAAAACTTTGAAGACAGCAAGGAATCATATATTTTTTTAAAAAAATGGCAATTTTTCAGGAATATTTTATTTTTCAAGATCCTTTAAATATGGCATACTTAATTAGTTTTAGAGAACACCTTAAAAAAAAAAGGAGCTCTGCTGGCTTCATTCGAACTAAGCAAAGTTTCCCTTATTTTTTAAAATAGCAAATTTTTTAGAAAAGTTTTATGATATTTCAAGAGCCTAAAAATAGCCTGAAAATGTGGTGTCGTTCATTATAGGAAACATCTTTAAAAAACCGAGGTGCTGGATGCCTTCATTCAAAGCTCATAAGCACCCCAAATATTTTAAAAATACCAATTTTTTATTCGAAAAGTTTTATAATATTTAGAGAGCTTAAAAATATGGTGTGGTTGTTTTTAGAAAAAAAAGTTTAAAAATGTTCGAAGCTAGCAGAGCACCTTGATTTTTGTTAAAAAGGAGCATAACATTTTTGAAATAAAATAGCCTAAAAATATGGCATAGGTTTGAACTCAAAATTCCCTAGGTGCTCTACTGCCTTCTTTGACATTAGGTATACACATGGGTTTTTGATAAAGTTGCTATCAAACAATAGTTATTGCATTCATTATTACAGTATTGGGGGGTTATGATTGACAACCTGTGTTATTTTTAACAGGTCTGTTATTTTATAAACACATAGAAATTACAACATGTTCACAAATAACTTGTCTGTTAAAAATAACATTACTTGTCCATCATAACCCCATTAATGTTATAAATATGTTAACAGTAAATGTACAACTGGTCAGAAGTCGTTTTTGTTTAGCATTAGGTAGGCAGATGGGAACACGTAATATTGAATATTCTCCAGATACTTTAGGCTGTAGGGTAGGGATAACATAGCTAGAGGTGAGTCAGGTGAGTGGGAATAATCAAGTGGAAGATTTTAGTAAATTACCTCTATGGGCTATTTACACAACTACCTAGCTTCTGTAATGACATTTTCTTAAAAAAATTGTCATTTTAATTTCCACATCAAAAATATGAATGAGAATCAAATGAATAAAAAAGAAACTCTTTGTATACCTACCTCCTCATCCATGGGACCTAGTGTTTCGAGAGGAGCATCTTCAGCCCTAGTTACGTCCATAGAAAATCTTAAAAGTCCTTGAAGACTTGTTGGTTGTCTTGGTTTATTTTCCATCAAATTTGGATTTGGTTCAGGATTTATAGACTTTGAAGTTTCACTTACTGGCAACAAAGCCATAGCTTTTTCTATATGTACCTACTATTGCTATTAACTAGGTATACCTTATTTTGGTTTGATTTTTGTTTTTGATTACAGTGATATTGATTTAATAGGCACGTTTATTTTATAGGCTTTTTCTATATTATTCTGGATTTAAATCGTTGCCTCTAATTTCGCTGATTTATATGAATACCGATTGAATGAATAAATCCAGAATATTCCACAAAAATTTAGAGGTTATAGCCACAGAACATTTATGTCACAGAACACTTACTATTTATGTATCTAATTTTGACAGTGAACTAGACGAATATGGCGACAAGTGTTTCCGGTCTACCAGTGACGTACTGACATAAAGGGGCGTAGAAAAGAAAATAAATTCTCATTTGCATATTATCTAAGGCAGAACTCAGACAGCTCGTTCACGTCGAGCGTCCGCGAAGGTCCAAAATTTCAAACATGCGTAAGCTTATGGCAAACCTCACACTAAGCCGATCGATCGCCACCACAAAGCACGTATCTTCTAGAGACCCCACGCCAATGTTAAACTTTTAAACCAGATTAGCGTCACCTTGAGTTTGGAGCAGGAACTAAAATGACAATTGACAGATGGCGGTAAATTCAAATTGTAATTTTTAGGAGTAGGTAGTAGTTTTAAATTAAATTTTAAATGATTTCCACATAAATTATTTTATAAAATAAAGTATGGAACTAGTAAGTTCGAAACTTTTATTTTACAAAATAATTTAGGTCGATTATACCAAATTTGAGGAATTAATTTGTTATAAGGGGTCTGATGTGGAGAGTTTTGGTTTTGCATATTATTATTAAATAAATATAAGATTATCAATAAATAATAAAATAGAACATTCTTAATATGTTTATTAATAACTTGAATAAATATTATTAGATAAAAATAAATACAAATATTTAACGAATACTTACTTGGAGCAAATCTTTAAAATACCTATCAATAATTTAAATGTGAAGTAGAGACTAGGACATTACATTTTATTAACATTAAAGTAATATATTTTATAAATGTCTTTTTAACCGAGGACAAATGTAATATAGGAATTGTATTAAAAGGTGAATCCTTTTAACTATTCATTCAATGATAAATAGGTATTTTCCTTCCAAATACAGATGGTGGTATTACTCTCTTATGTAAAAAATTGATTATCAATTAGTCTTTTTATGATGCATGGTGAATCAATGAAGTTTTTCTCGAAGTTTTCAACGTAGCACCAAAATTATTGCAAAACACAGTAGGAAATAGAAAAGCAAAACATCACAATTTTGCAAATAACTAAGACGAAACTATAAACAGAAGCCAAAGCCAACAAAAAATCACTAAAATCAGACGGAAAAATGAGACTACCCAAAAACAAATAAATACCCGTCATATATTTGGATTATTTGGATTCTTTGGTTATGTTTTTCTCCCATAAAGCTTAAAAATGGAGTAAGAAATCATAATTTCACCAGTAGCCCCATCTAGAGTTTGGAGCAAATAGCATAAAAAATGTCCGTTGTCGGTTTTGACCTTGGTCATTCACGTGGAACCTCTATGTGCTTTGTGATCGCCACCGTCATCAACCGTCCTCGACCAAGCAATTTCACTTTTCGAGTTTGTTTGAAATTTGGTTGATCGCTCGATGGTGGACGATCAAAAGTTAGGTTATAAAGAATTTAAATACGTTATAAAATAGATATATGTTAAAAAAATGGCCGAAGGTTAATATTTATATTATTATTATGATCTATTTTGAATAACTGTATATAATATATATCAGAAAAATCATATATTTTTTAATATAAATGTCTATTGATTTAATATTAATTAACAAATATTTAATTGAAGCATCAACTGTTAATTTCCATTACAATTAAAATTTTAAAATAGAGAACCATTTTTGTTTTGGTCGGATCAAATCGATCGACGCTGTGTGAATTCACTCTTTTAAAACGGTCGAGGAGTCATGTGATTGTCCTTGGTTGACCGTGGACGACCTATCTGAGTTCTGCCTTAATTTACCAATTTCTCTCATTTTAACGAATTGCTATTTTTTTTGCGAGAAGTTTGCATTTTTTTTATTAACCTTCATTATGTTAATAAATTTTACTATAAAATTGCATGTTGGGTGGGATAAATATAAAAAAATATTTTTGGGATAATTTATAGAGGGATTTCATTTGAAAAATCAAAGTATTAATGTATTAAAAAAAAAAATATTGACCCTTTTACGTCTTTATTATGACAATGTCTTTATTAATCTACATTTTACAAATTATTAAGGTTTGAAAAATAAATATGTTTTGTAGATCTGCGTTAAAAAAAAATAAATATCCTATACTTATATTTAGGTCAAACACCGCTGTGATATTTCTTTCTTTGATGTTTTTGTTGGAGCACATATAAAACTTCCAAATATCAAAAATAATTTCTGATCATTTTATTACATAATATTATTAGTAATATTTTTTGCAGGACAATTTTGCATAAGCAGGTAAAACACCTTTCCAAGAAAGGATCCTATAATGTAATAATGATTGAGTGCAAAATAGATTATTTTTAAATGTACATTCAACGCATTATTTGTATGCTTAGTTCAGTTATGATGAGAGTCAATTTGTACTCTAAGGTATTTGATATCATTTGTAATACTTATATAAAACTACTGAACGTTACCTTTTATTATTTCTATAGGAAGAGGTCATCTTTTTGTGACTGTATAATGGGACAACATAAGTGTTATCAAAGATGTGTAAGTTTTTATAATTAAACCATTCGAAAGATCTGTTTCTATTCATAATTTTAATCAATTCAAGTTCTCTGCATTTTGCAGAACAACTATGTCGTCTGAAAAACTTACAATGGGGTATATTCTGTAACAATTCCTTTATATTGTAATGGCCTTTAAAAATATTTTCTTCTTTAATTCTGTCATTATTTAAACGGATCTTTAAAATACATTAGAAGAGGACTATCTTAAAGAAATCTTTTTAAATAATGACAGAAGTAAATTAACGAATACGAAAATATTTTTAAAAGCCGCCAATATTTTAAAGGCCGTTAAAATATAAAGGAATTGTTACAGAATAGACCCCAATATTTCCATCTGTATTTAAACGACAAATTATTTAAAATAAAATTGAACAAGATAGGACCTAAGACAGTAGTAGGAAAGGGGGCACTATGGCCTGGGAACCAAATTTTCCTTTGATGATGCCGACAATGATGCCGCCAAAGGTCATTAATCATTTTAATTACCCGTCAATCATTAATTACCTTATCAATAATTAATGACCTGTCAATCATTAATTACCTATCAATCATTAATAACCTGTCAATCATTAATAATTATTTAATTCGCTAGATGATAGTAAATATAACGCGGCTTAGAACAAATTAGATGCTATTAATTTTAAGTACCCCACCGCGGTTAAAGAAAAGGTATCCGGTTCCAGGTAAAAGGGAGTTCGGCTCTTTAGGGGGGTCATAACTAATAGTAAGGTGACATGTTACATTTGAATTAATTGCTTAAATAGATATACGTGTTCGTAAGAAAGGCCATGTGTTTTAAATATGAAATGAGATCACTGCAGTTAATGCAATAAATATTTGTTATTAATTTGGATTTTATGAATATACTTCTGAATACTAATGTTAAACCCTGGTGAGAATTAAACTGAAGTACATTCAATTATAAGTATATGGGGTATGGTACGACTACAAACATTCAAAAAAATTCAAAATACATCGACACATGATCTGGTTAGACAAGAATGTATGTATTTAGTTACTTATACGACAACTTAATTATCGACTTTTGTCAAATAGGTCATTGACCCTATATTGCGATTACTGTTCTAGTTATTGAGTTTGAGTTTATTTTTCGTTAACTGGTAACATCAATCTAAGGTGAGATCGGTCTACGCACTCTTTTCACTATATTCACTCCTAAAGTATCTAAGACGCTCGGGTACGGAAGGAGTTAAAATAATAGTTCCTCTTTGACCGTTCGGAGATCGTGGAGTGGAGTGTGGATCGGGCATGCGCATAAGGTGATATAAATCGATAATAAGATAATTGTGACTAATTCTTAAGTAAAAATGCTTTTTATTTGATTCCCGCGCATACCATTAATATGAAAGAAACTTATACGGTTGTTACTGATAAGTACGATTAGGTTTTAGGTATTAGTATGTCACATTGACAACTGACATTGAACTCAGAGAGTAAAAGGAGTAAAACCATATGCGCACTCCGTTTACGCCTACTTACTCCACTTCACTCTGGAGTGCGCAGCCCGAACTCACCTCTAGTCACGAGCGTATTATTGAAGAATGCCGGACAGTTGCGAGATTAGTGTGCATCCACATTCTCGCAACAGTTAAGTCGTTGTCTTTCCCGTCACGCTGTGGATGCGTGACCACCAAGGGACGCAACACCATGGAACTTAGCCGATTAGCGTGAAATAAATGACGATAAATAAGGGGTGAATCGGGAAAATGGAAAGTAGTGGGACCTTAAATGGTGTTACAAGAAGCCACTTTCTGCAGTACCGACACACTACAGAATGAATAAAGTACAGTGGTACCTCATGACCAAAATATTGGGGTTCACAATGACAGAATATAGATAGCAGTACATATTTAGGTAACCAAATTTCAGTGTATAGTTGTGGTAAATCTATATAATACATAATTGCTATTAGTAGATTAAATGGGTCGTAGAATATGCTTATAAATTTCAATGCTAAAAATTATGTTAAAAATAAAACCGAATTACATTAATTTATAGGTATACAGGGTATGGTACGATTATAAATAATTCAAAGTGAATAGTAACCTACTACTTTTCTGTTTCATTAGGTAGACAAGTGTTATCGCATAAATACTAGCTAAATACTAGTTGAATTCTACTTAAATACTACTTGAATACTATTTGAATACTACTTGAATACTATTTGAATACTACTCGAATACTACTCGAATACCACCTGAATACTACTTGAATACTACTTAAATACTACCTGAATACTAGTTGAATACTACTGGAATAATACTTGAATACTACTGGAATACTACTTGAATACTATCTGAACACTACTTGAATACGATTTGATGGCTATTTAAAGATTCGTTAAACCAGTTTAAAAACAACCTAACAAAGATTGAAGACCTACTAGAAATAGGCCTATCTAGAAATACATAAAATGTTATTTTTAGATTATAAAAACGTGTTATTTATGTAAATATAATTAATTTAAAATATCGCACCCCTTTTT